TGAGGAAAATCCAGGTGAATCTACTGTAGTCATCAACTACAGTGAGAAAATAAATTGCACCATCCAAAGAAGGAATTTTCATAGGACCCCAGATGTCAAGATGTAACAAATCAAAGGCTTTGTCAGATTTATGAGGGTTTTGAGGAAAAGAAAGTGTATGTTGCTTTCCGAAATGACAAGCATCACACACTTCAGTAAACTTTGTATTAGGAATATCACTGAATACATCATGAAACAATTTTATTCTATCTAGGGAAGGATGTCCCAGTCTATTGTGCCAAAGTTGAGGTGTTACAGAGGTATTGATAGATGTGGATGCATTATTTATTACAGGAAAAGGATCATTATTCTCTTGCACCATGTAATATAAACCTTGCACTCTTTCAGCTGTCCCAATCACTTTCAAGGTGCTGAGTTCCTGTAAATGACAATCAGTTTTAGAGAATATGAGTTGAAGATTACTGTCAGAAACTAGCTTTGTCACAGATATAAGATTGAAATGGAATGATGGCACAAACAAAACTCTTTGAAGGATGATATTTTGATTCAAGTGAACTGAACCTATGTGTGTGGCAACAGTATGACCACCATTGGGTAGATGAATAGAAAGTGGTGAACAAAGTGTATACTGTGTGAATAAGGATAAATCACATGTGATGTGATCTGTTGCACCTGAATCTAGGAGCCAAATGTGAGGTTGAAGTTGAATAGCTGAGGATACAGATACGTGATTGTTTTGGTTTTGATATGTACCTTGTTTGGAGTAGGAAGGATTATCTGGGAGATGTGAGTGACCAGATGAGATAACATTATTTGAAGATGCCAAATTAATACCTCCTTTGATAAGAGTACAGAACTGTTGATACTCCTCCTGAGTCAAACTGACATGTCCTTTACCTGATTCTTCATTGTGCTCCTCAAACATAGCTGCATTCACCACATTCTTGTTCTTGTTCTGCCATCCTCCAGTGTTCTGCACAACTTGAGGTTTAAAACGTGCAAGTTTATGTCCAGGTGGATAACCGATGAGTTCAAAACAGTTTTCAACTAAATGATTTGTTTTCTTGCAATGTGTGCAGATTTTCTGATTTCCTCCAATGTTATTCCCTCGTTGTTCACCATTATCATATGAACTGTATTTATGTTTGTCGTTGTTATAACCTCTATTATAATTTTGATGTGATTCTGCTGCCATTGCCATTGTTGTAGCATCATACATGTAATTCATTGAGGAGTTCAATTCCTGATTTGCTTCTTCTTGTAGAACCAGATTAAAAATGTCATCAAGTGGGGGCAAAGGATCCTTTAACAAAATCTGATTTCAAAGAAGTATGAAGGATTCCTTTAATCCCATGAGAAACTGCATAACATATTTCCTTTGCATCCTTCTGTTCATCTCGATTAGCACAGGACAATTTTCAACTGTGCATATTGCAGATTCTTCATATTGACCTATCTCATCCCAGAGTGTTTTGAGTTTAGAGTAGTACACACTAATTGGTGAGTTTTCTTGCTTTGTAGCGATTAGGTTTTGTTCAAGCATGTAGATGTGATTATTACTTGACCTAGAAAATCTTCTCTTCAATTCCTTCCAGACTTGAGTTGCAGAATCAGAGTACAAAGCAAAATCACCTAAATCAGGTGATAGACAATTCGAAATCCATGAGATTACCATGTGGTTAGCTCGCATCCAGCTGAAGTAGTTCGGATCGTTGATCGCAGGTTTAGGTAACGTTCCATCGATAAAAGGTAGTTTGTTCTTTGCTGATAGCGCGACGTACATGAGTCTGCTCCATCGATGATAGTTCCGAGCGTCGAGTTTCAAACTGATTAGAGATTGACTTGGGGATTCGGCGTGATGAAGGAATAATGGATTCACTTCATCTCCGCCAATTTTGTTATGATTATGAACTGAAGTTGAATGATGACTGTGCTCAGGTTCAGAATCACTTGATGCTGAATCCATGGTGAATCAACGAGTTGGGGACGACGATGGATTATTGCGGAAGCTCTGATACCATTTCAGAATGAGTAAACTGTAAAATATTCATTGGAGGAAATACTGGAATTGATTGTATTAATTTACAAAATGAAAAGTACAAGTTGTATTTATACTAAATGATATACTCTAACCGACTAACAGAAAGAACTATCTAGAACAAAATTCTGTTGTACTAATCTAGTCTTCGTAGTCCATCTTCTTTTCTTCCTTTATCACATACTTCAGCCGTATCTTCCCACTGAACTCTCTTGCCTTTGTTGTTCCAATAGAGTGGACTGAATCTAAAAAATGAATAAATTTACACACTAAAAATTTGAAGAAAAAATAAGTTACATACACTGAACTTCATTCCACCATAGGTAGGTTTCATAGATCTCTTCATCCATTGTGCATTTTTTTAGGCATACGAGGTGTCCATGTATTGGCTATATATTGTATAGGCAAACGATTAAGATTACCATTTTAGTTCGTCTCAAATCTATATGTTTATGGGGACAAAGTTCTTCCCAGACGCGTCCATTTGGATTGATTTTTGAAGTATGATGTGATCTAGTTGTTTTACGTTTAATGTGAATTAATACATGCATCTACGTCAATATGCTACAATGTATTTTATACCCCCGTATAATTAAGAAATATTCTTGTATGATCAATTATGTGTATTCATTGTGATGATCTGTTAAGCCGTTTTCATTTATTTATTTATTTATTTATTTATTTATTATTATTATTATTATTATTATTATTATTATTATTATTATTATTATTATTATTATTATTATTATTATTATTATTATTATTATTATTATTATTATTATTATTATTATTATTATTATTATTATTATTATTATTATTATTATTATTATTATTATTATTATTATTATTATTATTATTATTATTATTATTATTATTATTATTATTATTATCTCGTTTAAGTCTAGTTTTGGTTTGATCATGTACGTTTGGTTTGAGACCGATATATTAGTCCAAATAATATACGCAATATTTCATATTTAAAGTTTTGGTAATAGGATTTTTATCTTTTTTTTTAATTTATAAACAACTAACAATAATTGAGGTAATAAAGCTAAATGTTTTAAACTGGTTTGTAATGAATTTAATATGCTTTATTGAAATGAGTTTTATGTCATACTACCTCCGTCCTTCTTCTAGTGCACAAGTAGTTAATTTGTTGTTTATATTTATTTATCTTTGTTGAACAAATCTCAATTATTTGATCGATTTTTTACTTTTTCACATCCAACTCGAAATGAGAGATGAGTTTTTTTTTTTTGTTGAAAGAGATGGGGTAGTATAATGTTTAAACGAAACCTGTATTGGTGATTAAGACATTACAATTACAATCACCTAAGCAGTCATATACATTACTATAAAATGTGCATATATGAGAATATGGATAACATTAAACTACTATTGATTATGTCATATGTAATATTGAAACATAATATTAGTAAATATTATCATGTATTTATTACTTGTACTTATCCCATACGGTTAGCCTATTATCACATATGGTTATGATGATTATCCCATAGCCTGTGCAGAGTTAGTTATTAGATATTGTCTCTTCCATTGTAAGCCTATATAAACACATGTACGTATCTCAATAATATACAATCAGTTTTACATCCTTCCTTTACTTCTTCATGGTATCAAGAGCCTTTCTCTAACGAGCTACTATGTTCGCAAATCAATCTTTCTAGTGTCTCAGTTCCATCTCACTGGCATCATACATTTGGTCATCCGTCTCGTCGTATTTTTGATATGTTAATTCATCAAAATAAAAATGTTATTCCGTGTAACACCTCGTTAAGTGAGTCTCATTGTTCATCTTGTTATGTTAATAAAAGCACCAAGTTGCCATTTTCTCTTAATACTATGCAAGCCAATTATCCTCTAGAGTTAATATATATAGTGATGTATGGAGCACATCTATTACGTCTTTTGATGGTTACAAGTATTACGTGAGTTTTGTGGATTATTTCACAAGATACACTTGGTTATATCCCATAAAACATAAAAGTGATGTGTCTGTTGTGTTTCCCCAGTTCCATCGATTGGTTGAGAAATATTTTAACCATCAAATTAAATCTCTATTCTCAGATAACGGGGGCGAATATCTTAAATTACGGCCATATCTTAATCAACATGGCATATCTCATTTTACCACACCACCCCACACTCCTAAACACAATGGCATTGCTGAACGCAAGCACGGACATATTGTTGATACCGGTCTTACCTTACTCCATTATTCCGGTCTATCACAATTGTACTGGACCTATGCCTTTCAAACAGCAGTTTACCTTATCAACCGCCTTCCCAATTCCGCCATTAATTTCTCCACACCCTATTTTCAGTTATATCATCGTCACCCTAATTGCAAAAAGTTACAACCATTTGGGTGCTTGTGTTATCCATGGCTTCGTCCATATTCCTCATCTAAAATTGATGTACGCTCCATACCTTGTATTTTTATTGGCTTCTCTTTATCTCAATCTGCATATTTTTGTCTGGATCCTAGCACAAATCGTATATATGTGAGTCGTCATGTTCGTTTTGTTCCCACTATTTTTCCATCTCGTTCTCCCCGGTCCGAGTTCAATATCCCTGCAAGTATGCAATTGCCGCCCGTGGACCCATCTCCTTTACATAATTCGGCCTTATCATCAACTGTCTTTCCCAGTCAACCTCCATCTAATATCTATCCTCTCTTAAGCCCACCTATCACCGCACCCGTCTTATCCACTCAACAACCTGACCCACCTACTCCCTCAAATTCCACAACATCCAATTCCTCTGGAACCAACCCACCCTACGCATCCAATAACTCCAACAACATGTCAACATTATCCATGCCACCACCTACAACCCATCCGACCCCACCAACGTCCCATACTACTCCATCCACCACAATTATAGCTCACAGACCCATTCGCCACCGAGTCCCCAATCCCAAGTATATTGGCGGACCCTACTTAAACCATACCACCACCCATCCTATTCCACATGCACTTGAACCAACGAGTGTGAAACAGGCATTAACTGATCCGAGGTGGGCTGCTGCCATGCAGAACGAAATGCAAGCTCTCAGCCGGAATAATACATGGACTCTGGTTCCTCCGACCAACCAAACTCCTGTAACATGTAAGTGGCTCTTCCGGATTAAGAGAAATGCCGACGGTAGCATCTCTCGGTTTAAAGCAAGGCTTGTGGCTCGCGGTTTTTTTACAACAACCTGGTCGTGACTATTCAGAAACGTTCAGTCCTGTAACAAAACCGACTACAATACGCATCGTCCTATCTATTGCACTGGCCCGAAATTGGTCTCTCTGGCAACTGGACGTCAATAATGCCTTTTTGCATGGGACACTCACGGAGGAGGTGTATATGGTTCAGCCACCTGGTTTTCGAGATCCGCAGTTTCCCACACATGTTTGCAAACTACGTAAGGCACTCTATGGGCTCAAACAGGCCCCACGTGCTTGGTATATGGAGTTGTGCCGGTTTCTTATCTCTGTGGGCTTTCAAAAATCTCGTGCAGATGCCTCATTATTTATTTACTCCTCCCATGGCACACTCATCTATTTTCTTGTATAGGTTGATGACATTGTTCTTACAGGGAATAATGCTAAAGCAGTTGAGGAATTTGTTCGTCAACTTACCCACAAGTTCTCGGTCAAAGATTTGGGCATGTTACATCACTTTCTTGGGATTGAAGTGGTTCCCACTCCCACTGGCATTTTCTTGACCCAACGTCAATACATACTTCACATTCTGGAATCATGTAAAATGCATGGCGCCAAGGAGGCAACCACCCCGATGTGCACCAAGTCTTTACTTTCCCTCACAGATGGTACATCACCTGCTGATGCTACACAATACCGCCGCACGCTTGGTCTTCTCCAATATTTATCCTTTACACAGCCGGACATTTCATTTGCCGTAAATCGGCTATCTGAGTTTATGCATGCACCGACCGAGACTCATTGGCAAGGCGTCAAACGTATACTGCGATATCTCAAAGGTACGTTGGACCATGGATTATTTCTTCGTCGCTCATCACCTCTAACCCTCTCAGTCTTCTCAAATTCCGATTGGGGTGGTGTGACCGATGGGGGGAAATCTACTACAGCTTATGTACTTTACTTGGGAGGTAACATTATTTCTTGGAAGTCAGCCAAATTAAACAAAAAACAGTGTGCAGGTCCTCTACTGAAGCTGAATACAAGGCTGTTGCAAATGCAAGTGCGGAAATGCTATGGGTACGAAATCTGCTCACCGAGTTGGGAATTTCATTAGTATCCACGCCCCAGCTCTTTTGTGATAACCAAGGAGCTACTTATGCGTGCATTAATCCTGTGTTTCACTCATGGATGAAGCATCTTGCATTAGACTTCTTTTTTGTTCGGGAACTAGTTGAAAGTGGACAATTGGTGGTCAAACATATCTCTACAAAGCAACAAATTGCTGATATTCTAACCAAACCACTTAGCAAGACACCATTTCAATTTTTCCGATCCAAGCTAGTGACTTATGAAATAACTTAATTGGTTATATTTTAATACTTCGGGGACTTAATTGATTCAATTTGAAGTACGATGACCTAATTGACTTTTTTATAAAAATACAGGGACCTATTTGACAGTTTTCCCAATTTTATTTAAAGTATTTGAGAGATCTCTTCCTTGTTAGGCTAACCGCAACCCGCGTCCGTCAATAAATCAAATTTCCCACTACTTTATACGTATTCACACCGTCAATTCAATTTTTGCTGCAATCCAGCCACCGTCAATATATTATCTTGCAAAGTTTATTTAATTAAAATCTTATTTTCATTATTATACATTATTTTTTTTCGATAATTTTTTGGGATAATTAAGATTGAAAAGAGTCAAACATTCCTATGTAAAAATAAATAATTTTGGAATTTAAACTTTTGTTTTTATTTCAGATCCATTTTGGAAAAAATTGAAAATGTAAAAAGAATATATTAATCACGAGATCTTAATTTTAGCAGTGGAATATATTAAGAAAAAAATTTAATCAAAATATCTCCAATAGTTAAGTTTTTTTTCTAACTTTATATATATATATGATATCGGTGTCATATGAAAGATAAAAAAAAGTTATGAATTTTGATATAATTTTTGAAATAAAATAAATACAAATTAAAAAGTTATAACACTTTTAATAAAAAAGAAATATTTTGTTGTTGGGGTCTGCACTATCTCTCCACATCAGGACAACTCCCCCATTCTTTCTTCTGGCAAAGGGCGTGAATATGGGGTGCCAAATCCCCCCTCCCTTGGGTGCCATTTTACCCATTTGGCACCTCCAAATACATGGGATGGAGGGTTTTTAGGAGTCAATAGGTTAAATTTACGTTTTGACCTTTAGGGCTGCGGATAGCCTTATACCCTGACGGCCTGACCTTCTTCCTATCATGTGAAAGGATTGGAAGACAATGAAATACGTCATTGGTGAATCATGAATGGACCGTGCACGTTTGTACAAGAAGCGGGTCAACCCAAGAGAGAGTCCGGTTGGTAGGCTATTCTAATTGGACGGTTCATGGGTTGAAATTGTTTTGACCCAGTCCAAAAGTGGTCCACCCTCCCGTGTGCATTTCAGGTCCCTATCCGACACAACAATCTGACACCAGATTTTGGACCGATAACGGTGCCTCTATATTTTTTAGAGTCATTGTTCATGTACACAAGTTATACATACATTGTCTGTGTATATCGACAATTTGACATCAAGGACTGCCCTTTTTAAATGAATTGTCTGTGTACACACAACTAGGGGGTTTGTGTACAACTTGTGTACAACTCATGAGCATTTTCGTATTTTTTAAGGTCTCGTTTTCAATTGGGTTTGCACCGTCAAAACATCCATTAAAGTTTTTCTTTCTTATTTTCGTTGTTAGTTAATTCAATTTTAAATTTATTAGGTGTTTGGTCGAGTAAGTTGTGAGGAAACTTCTGCTAGTGCTACGTCTAAAATATATATATGGCACAAAAATGACTTAGGGGATGGAAACCCAACAATATGCAAAAAGAAAATGGTGAATCCTTTTTAAACTATACTCCATGGCCTTGTTTGGTAAATGACTGTTAGCTGTTGTTAGCTGCTGTTAGTTGATTGTGTCAGCTGTTTCATAACAGCTGGTTGTGTTAGCTGTTTTGACCGGCTGATTGTGTTAACTGATTATAAATAACAATTTGATAAAATTGGCTGTTTCAAAATGGCTGACAGAGTGTAAATTGAACTGACCGAATGAAGAAACTGCTCCCCTTAGCTTCTTCAACCATCCATTTTTTCAGTTTTTCAAACTCAACAATCTAATTTCAAAAGCCATTTACCAAACATTATTATTAGCTTCTTTGACTAATCTAACAACTGAAATGGGTCAAACAAGTTAAAAGCCGCCTGATAAGCCATTTGCCATATCTGTACACATTATATTGTATATACGGAGTATCTTCTATTGTCAAATAGAGTATATCTTCTAACTAAGATATTTTGACAACTAGCTAGCTAGAAGATATACCCAATAGAATGACTAAGCCGTGACTACGCCGGTGTGGTTATTCCGGTGACAAGTTAGTCACGGAAACGGCCCGTGACTAAGCCGTGACTACGCTAAGTCACGGATAAAATGACCGTGACTAGAATTAGTCACGCCCAAACAGTCACGGATTTAGTCACGGACAAAGTCCGTGACTGGCAGAGTTAGTCACAGATTTTTTATACTACGGTCCGTGACTAAATCCGTGACTAACTCCGTGTTTTTTTGTAGTGACTATATCCGCAATCAGAACTTTCAACGCTCATTTATTAATGTGGGTTGAGCAGGAGTAGATATTCTATCATAGGAGCAAATGAAGAAATGGATTTGAAGTAGTTCATGATCTATATTAGATCCACTATTCTAGAAAGAATATACTTCATATCATTTTTGATAATATGATCTTTTGGATTGTGTCTAGGTTTTAGTATGCTTCTGTATTGCCATCTGTCAAGTGCTCAGAATTCCGGTGTATAGCCTCAAGCTGTTATGCATTTTGGTAATGGTTTGCAGCTCTTCGGTTGAGACTAAGAAAATTTTAATCAATTGAGAGTAATACACTTTAGAACCAGGGCTGGACTCAAAAGATATGCATTTTGTTTTGTTTTTTACTGGGATTTTTTTTTTGAATAATACTGGGATTTTTTTTAGAAAGTAGAAATAACAATGAAACTAACTAACCGCATATATGTAAATGAAGTAAACCCATAACCTCAAATCTGGGGAAGAAGATAAACAGAAACAAACACTCAGTTTAAACCTTAGAACAAAAAACATCAGTTTAAACCTCATAACAAAAAACAGATCCTCAGCATACAAGTTCATTTTTTTTACTCAAATGATTATTGGGATAAATGCCGATTGACTAATACATCAAATAATTGGATCCCAGTTTTTTTTGTCTAATGGATCCCAGTATTTATAAACTTAAAAAAGATGTTTGTTAAGAAATAAGGGTTATCACCATTGAAGCAATGGGTTTCTGTGAGCAACAGAAATCTTCGAGCTAATGAGAAAATCACTTTCATTTTGTAATTTCCTCGCTGTTAACTACATACTCTTTATATTTTGTTTGTTCTTTCTTATAGAGTTGCTTATTGTTTTAAAATATTATAAATAACAATTTTTAGCCTATTAGCTCAAATGGTAGAGCGATGTGTTATAAACACATAAATGTGGGTTCGAATCCCACATAGGCTACAGTTAAGTGCAAATTTTAGTCTTATTCTTTCTCATACCGAAATGGTTGTCTAATCAACTCAAAATTATAATCATGTCTAATTACTTATGAATAATAAATTAAAATGAAAGAGATTGATGATCAATACTCAATAGTGATCAAAGTATGTTTAGAATATTAAAATTTCTTTAACTTATACAGAGTAATTTATTTATAATCAAACCGATAACATTATATTAATAAATCATTAGCCATAAGGCTACAAATACAATCAGGCATATCAACGTAATCCACACACTGATCTGAGATGGCAACATGTGCCCGAGCAAGAGCATGGGCAACATGATTCGCAGATCGTTTACAAAAACAGATGTCAAAATTGCTCTCTGTTTCCAACATTTTCCTAATATCATCAAAAATTAAATTAACATAAGTCGAGCTCTTCGTCTTAGATATTCCATGCACAACAGTGAGAGCATCGGTCTCAATCATCACATTCCGCCATCCTGCCTCCTTTGCATGAATTATAGCATTCCGAACACCCATGGCCTCTGTCTCTTCAACAGTCCATTCCGCTGAAACTGAAACCCCCGAGCCTTAATAAAAGCTCATTCCGCATTCCGGACAACCCAGGCCAGCCCCATGAGCGAATTCCTCCACCACCATTGACAGCTCCATCAACATTGATTTTAAGATAATCCCCGATCGGCCTTTGCCATCTTCCTCCTTCTTCATTCCGCTGCCTCCAGACCTGCCTATCTGCCTCAGTTTCGCGTACCTGCTGTCAGGCGCCAAGCATTCCATCGGCTCTCCGCAGGACGCCCTCCGCCTCCGGCCTGCATTTCATCCTTCCACACCGCATGATTCCTCCTCTTCCACAAACTCCAAATAATTACCAAAATCCCGCACCTAGCACCTGCCTCCGCCTACTCCAACTGCTGCCGAAGCCACTGATTCAACTCCATTTGCGGTCCTCCTGTGTTAATGTCCGCAAGCTGTCTGACCTCCTCAGCTTTTGAGCAGGTTCATAATGCATGATCCGAGTCCTATCCTGGCAATCCACACAGCTTGCAGCCTCCATTAATTAACACCCCTTTCTTTCTTAGATTTTCAACAGATGGTAGAGTGCCATCCAAAACCTACCAAACTAGGTACTTGAACTTTGGGGGAACCCGAGCATCCCACAATTCCTCCAACCTACCCAGCCGCCCGAATTATTGAGCCCCATGAGCAATCTATAAATTAAAACTTTTAACTGAAAATTGCTCGTTCTTCTCCCCACGTACTCCACCAAAATCCATCCGCCCGGTCAATCAGACTGAAAGAAATGCTCAATATTCTTTTGCAATCGTCCACATTAAAGATCTCATAAATTCTCTATACAACTGATACGGAGTAATTAGAAAACCAGTTTTTCTAAAAGTAAATATATTAGCTCAATATATTGGTCAGCCATGACCAACACAACTTAATGTTGTACACATGATATTAAAACGTTAGAATAATCTTCCGGTCAGAAATTTCATGACGAGAGTGTCGTCCGACCATTGCCGTTAAGGGCGGTTCTCGATGGTTATTTTGCTAAATTTTTTTGTGCATGTATGTGTTTCATCAAGTCTAGTTTATCCACATCATATATACTTCAGCTTAAACTGCAATCAAGAAGACAGTCAAATAATTTTTTGAAGATAACTGCATCAAAATATGCATATATAATACAGTTATCTTAAAAAATGTATGCCTTCCCGATTGAATTTTAAGCTGAAAACGTAATTAATGTCGATAAACTAAACTTGATAAAGAACATGCATAAAATTACAACAAAAAATACCATTGGGAACCCCCCCCCCCCCATGGTGGCGGCCGGACGGCGC